TGGATTATCATTATTAGCAGTTGTTTTGTAACAGAAATATTACACTCTTTGCTTATCTCTGACTTGATTTGAACGCTATCTTGGAACTTAACATTTTCACCATTTTCTTTATACATCACTCACTTAGATTATTTCCTTTTATCTATGCTTATTCTCCTTTTAACAATACACTAATTTTCTTTATTGTTTTTTTTGTTCTCGGTTTTTTCTATGCTTCTATAGATTTTTTCCTTATTTACTCTAGTAATACCATTTATGTTTGTTTCTATTTATTCATTATTTATTCATTCACTCCATCATATTTTTCTATATTCGTGTCTCTCTTTCAGTATATGCGTCTTTTTTCTCTATCATTATTTCTTTTTTTCTTTCTTTATTTGATTCTCTTTTTCTATGTTTCCCCTTTCTTACTCATTTTCAATCTCACTGTTACAAACTTAGACTATCTCTCTCTCTCTCTCTCTCTCTCTCTCTCTCTATCTCCCTGTTTCTTACTCTCACTCACTCTATTTTTATTTTTTTGGTGTCTCTCTCTCTTTCTCTCACCCCCTATCACTGTCTCTCTCCTCTCTCTCTCTCTCCCTCTCCCTCACTCTCTCTCTCTCTCTCTCTCTCTCTCTCTCTCTCTCTTACGCTGTCTACCCTTTTTTCTCTCTCTCTCTAACTCCCTCTCTCTCTCTCTTTGTGTATGCATATCTGTGTATCAATATATCTATTTCTTTCTTTAACTTTATATCTACCTATCTTTCTATGCATCTATCCTTCACTCTATCTACTCCCTTTCCCTATCACATTCTCCCTCCTTCTATATCTCCTCGCTCTCCCTCTCTCTCCTCTCTCTCCTCTCTCTCTCTCTCACTCTCTCTCTCTCTATCACTCTGATTCTTATACTGACTCATTCTATCTCTATTTCTTTGGTTTGTCTCTTTCTCTCTTATCACTCTTTTTCTCATTCTCACTCTCTCTCCCTCTCTCTCTCTCTCTCTCTCTCCCTTTCTCTCTTACGCTGTCTCCCCTTTTTCTCTCTCTCTAAATCCCTCTCTCTATCTCTCATTGTCTATGCACATCTGTTTATCAATATATCTATTTCTTTCTTTAACTTTATATCTACCTATCTTTCTATACACACATCCTTCACTCTATCAACTGCCTTTCCCTATCACGTTGTCCCTCCCTCTCTCTCTCCTCTCTCTGCCTTTCTCTCCTCTCTCTCTCTCTCTCTCTCTCTCTCTCTCTCTCTCTCTATCACTCTGTTTCTTATTCTGACTCACTATATGTCTATTTTTTGGTTTGTCTCTTTCTCTCTATCATTCTGTTTCTCATTCTCACTCGCTCTATCTTTATTTTTTTGGTTTGTCTCTTCCTCTCTCTATCACTCTGTTTCTTATTCTCACTCTCTCTCTCACTCTCTCTCTCTCTCTCTCTCCCTCCCTTTCTCTCTATTTCCCTCTCTCTATCTCTCTTTGTTTATGCATATCTGTCTACCAATATATCTATCTCTTTCTTTAACTTTATATCTACCTATCTTTCTATGCATACATCCTTCACTCTATCTACTCCCTTTCCCTATCACGTTGTCCGTCCCTCTCTCTCTCTCTCTCTCTCTCTCTCTCTCTCTCTCTCTCGTTATATCTATCCATCTTTTTATTTATCTATCACATTTCTTATGGTGCTATGGCGATTCATAATTGTATTGTCATGCTTCTAATAGTTTATTATTTTATTTGTTTTTATGATTAAAATATAATTGAGTTCAATATTTATAGTTCAATTATGATTACAATATAATCTCTCTTTTCCTCTCTTTCTGAGTTTTCTCTCTCTATCTTATTTAAAAATTTAATAATACAAAACTACTTTAAATTTTTTTGCAGTAATTTTGTAAATTGCCACGGATTCTTTCAGGTACATTTAAACGGACCGGCGGGCTTAGGAATTTTGCCGATTAGAATTTTTCTTCGCCGAGTATAACAATATCCTGATTAAAATTTTTAATTTCTGACTTTTTTTCCATTTTCACTGCAGGTTCTGCTCTGGTTTTTCATTTTTATGAAAATGAGGACGACACGGGAGCTGGCTTATTTTAATTTATTATTAAATATTAACATTTCATCGCAAAAGTATGGTATATATGTAAATGCATTAGTGTATTATATAAAATCAAAAATTATAAGAAAATCTATTTTTTATTACAAAAATGAAGCATAAAAGAAAAACTTAATTTTTTTAAAGTTGTTTAAGCATAGTTTAAATGATTAAAAGGAAGGCCAATTTGATAGATTAATGGTAATAGTTGTAGTAAAATAAAACATATTTAGAATAGAATTACATCCCGTTCACTCTGATAATCGAAACTCATAAATTCATCATGATTGCAACAACAAGCTCAAATTTTGCAAGTAGAATTTTTTATTTGTGTGTAAGTTTTAGAAATAGTTGCAAAGTCAAAATCCTTACGGACAGGATATTTTGCTCGAAAATTTGATGAAGTAATTTAGTAGTTTTCTTTCTTATAAATTAATCTTTTCCCTGATCTTTTATGTATAACTACGATATTTAAAAAAAAATTGGATTGATATTAACATTTGTTTTTAAATGAAAAATAATAACGCCGCTGAATTTATATTTCATTCATGCCTTATTATTATTTCATTTAGCCTTTTGAAACATTGAAATCCGAATTTTACTGATTTTATTGGTTGTTTTCGTGTTTTTGCCATTTTTTTTTAGCACGAAACCAAGTTTATAATCGTTTTATGAACCCTAAAATGCCATTCAATACAAATTATAGAAAAATTTGAAATTGTTTTTTCCTCAAATTATTGTCTTTTTCTGATATTTATCCAAAATCACAAAATGAGAGTTAACTTTAAAATGATTCCAATTTTATAGAGAAAACTTGACGAGGGTTTAAAACCTTATAAACTCGTCATAATCTCAAAAATTTGGCCTACGTAAATATTCAAAATCTGAAATAAAAAAATAAAACTTTTGTAAAATTTTTATTGATTCGTCCTTATTTTTCTCAGTTCTACAGCTCGAAATTTCAATTTTCTTAACATTACGTGAAAGTAGAAAGAAAAAGTTTTCTAACGGTTGTAACACCGTTGAATTTGATTAAATTCCATAAATTTTTATGTGGAGCATCGAAAATCGGCGCGAAAAAAATGCTCACTTTCAAATCCGGCCAAAAAAGTCTTTAATCTAAACCAAATTGATTCTTTCATGGAAAATATTTTAAAATTATTTTTGACCTTCTTCTTTGCATGAAGAGTTTTTTTTCCTTGTTTGCAAGTTTTTATACATCTAGTCTTATTTTATACCATTTTCTTTTTATTTTCTTATTCTAAAGCTAAACGAATCAACTGATATACAATAAACTTGAAATACATTCATAAAAACGACATAAATTTCTATCACAAGTTTTTGAAAAAAAACTAATGGATGTAGTAATTTGGGTCTTTATGAAACTGCTTGCAAGGATGAGCATTAAATTGAAAAATACCAGGCTAATTTTTTTAGCACTTAAAAAATTTGGTAAAGTATAAAATCAAATTTAAACAAAGTGACGTTAAAAAAAGTAGTAAACAGAAAATTATCTTTTCAACAATAAAAATCGAAAAGTGGCTGTATTGAATATGAAATTTAGGCAGGTCATATTACGTATAAGGTTTTTCAAATTTTGAAATACATTTTTAAATTTTTTAATGTTATGTTTAAGCGAGAAGAAGATACAAAGAAGATATAAAATACACAAAGCAATTCCAGTCTTTATGGAAACTTTGTGTTCAATAATTATTCAGAAATCGTGAGATGCGTTCTGGTTTGATGTAGGTTTCAGAAAAACATTTTCGTGCCAACGTTTCGATCTTTATTGAGATCATCTTCAGGGCTCAAATTGTTTGTGTAATTGTGCCATTCTTGCGTGTCGTGTTGTGAATGCCAAGTTTGTGTTCAATGTAAAACACTAAATGTAAATAATTAACAAAACGTATAAATTATTCAGTAAAAAAATTCCGAAAAGTTTAGTAAAAATTTAACTCAGTTGTACGGAATAATTTGAGGCTCGTTTTCTATATAAAAAGGTTCAACAAAACTTTGTTTTATTTATATTTTTATCAATATTTGAAGATCATATTCATGTAATCAAGTAAAAAATAGTTTTAAATGTTGTTTTAAAAGTGAAGATAAGCTCAGTTAATCAATCAAGGGCTAAATTTGAAACTTTGTGTTACAAGTTGTTTGTAATGATAAAAAATTAAATTAAAACGTCACTCACTTTATTTTCTTAGAGTTTAATAAAAATTGTATACATCAATAAATAATATGGCAAAAGCCTTTTTTTAAAAAACGAAAGGTACGATAGGTTAATAAAAAAAATTTTTTTTTTGAATAATTTTAAACATGGCGAGTGTACAATGTTTAAACAAAATATTAAAATTTGAATATTTTTATTACGTTTAGAATATATTAACGAAATGAGGTTAGAAATAAATCTGAGATTTAATTAAAAATAGAGGAAATTTGAGTTAAATTTCGGTTTAGAACAAATTTTATGGAAAAATTTGAATATTTATGGCTTAGCATTTTAAAAAAACTCGTAAAGTATACGTCAAATTTAAATAATTTGTCTTTTAAAAATTAAGATAGAATCGGTTAATAAAAATAAAAATTGTATAGAACAATGTGTAGTTTAAATAAAATTTATGGATTCTTCCAATTTCAGCAGAATTAAGTCAAAATTATACGAAATCTATGGATGTATATTTTTTTGCCGAAATATAAAGGTTGTTTGTAGGGATAATAAATAAAGCTGAATATTTGTTCGTATAGGTGGTGGTTGGGTATATTTTCAAAAATTCAAAAATAATCTTTATTGAAGAAATTTGGTTTTGGAAGGTTATTATTGATACGAAGACATAAAATTAATTTGATTATTTTTTGTGGTTAAATATTTTATTTGATGGTCAACAGGGAAAAGGGAAAGAAGGGAATCTTACCAATATTCTGCCTGTTGTCGTTTGACCGGATATCAGTTCTCCTGCCCAGTCTTTAGCCTCGGTCATGAAAGTCCCCTCGAACTCTTGTTTTCCCTGCCTTGCGGCTTTCTGCTCTTTCTGTTTCGGATCATTTGGAGAGAGGTCAGGCTCTTTACGGCAAAATAGAAACGCAAGAACCCGCCAGAGTAATACGATCAAGAGCCCAGCGAGAAAAGTGAATATACTAGACAACAAAAAGCACCACCATTTCCTTTCTTGAAGACAATCAACGTACGGTCCTGGCGTTGTAGTGGTATCACATATCTCACAACATGACATTACGACACGCTTTGTCTATTTCGCCCCTGCATCCACCTTTGCTACATAGACAACTCTTATGCTTTGAGAATACGTCTCCATTCATCACCTGTCCTTTACACACTGGAGTCCTTACTACGAGATCCTTGGCTCTGCAGAGAGAAACACACACTGTTGAATCAATACCGGTGCCCACCAATAAGCAGAAGAGAAAACGGTGACGTAATGGCTGTGTATTCTCGGATCTGCCGCGGCGCTAGCCTACATGTAGTGACCCCCGCGAGCACCCCCCTGCAAAGCCTATAAAATAACGTCCTTTTCAGAATACATCAATTTCCCTTTCCCCTTTTCGGAAATTACAACTTTCCCTAATTTCACCTGTCCGAAATTTTAAATTGACGGCTATTCTTGTATCGACCGCGACCAATAACACAAATAATAACACCGGACAAAGTACCGAGACACCGAGAATGAACTTTTACTTACTTAAATAAAGAAAAAAAATAAAACTTTACAAACTAGCAAAGAGTGAAACGCTATTTTTAATATCCTAAAGACCTCCCCACTTACTACTCCCGACATTCACCGACTAAAATTGTCTACGGTAAAAATTAACCCATTTTCATACGGTTTTCATCGGATCGGAACTCCATCAAGACGAGGAATCCTATTATTTATAACGTGTCGAGGCGGTTTCTAGGAGCAGAATGCAATAAGCCCGGTCCCTATCGTGGAAAATTAATTAACATCAATTACCGGGGTGGATCCCATCGGGGAAAATTAAATTCTTCGGGATCTTAACAGTTTTATCACTTTAAATATAGAGCAAGTCGGAAGAATAGGGCATACCTCTGTCACCGGGTGATATTTCACGACCATTGACCCATTGGCTTTTTAATAACTACGACTATGATTTTTTTTTTAACTCAAAATTACATATCGGCATAAAATTATTTTTCTATATAAATGATGTAAAATCATTTACCACTTTTCATTAAGAAAGTGTGTGTTATTTTTCATCTTATCCAGTTCACCATGTTTTTCTGCCACATCAAAAAATATGTGTTTTTTGTGCCCAATAAAAAAAATTCGTGGTCCGATTGACCGAATAACTTTTTTCAATTATAATCTTTATGTAAGGTATGTAAGGTATTGAGATAAAAAAGTCAGTGTCACGAGCGGGATTCGAACCCACGATCCTCGGCTAAATATGCCGCAGCTCTACCGGTTCAGCTCATGTGGTAGAGCAGCGGCGTATCTAGCCAAGGATCGTGGGTTCAAATCACGCTCGTGGCTCTGACTTTTTTATCTCAACACCTTACATAAAGATTTATTAATTGATAAAAAGAATTTATTTCTATTTGCTTAGTTTGGTATTACAATTTAATTGACCGGAAGACAAAAAATAATTGATGATTATTTTAATATCAAGGTCGACCTCTCACTAATTTCATCAATTTTTGCACTATTAGTAGCTAACTACTTAATGGAATTGATTGATTAAAAAAAAAGTCAAAAGTTGCAAAAGATCCCAGATCAAACTCACCGTATTCATCTAATTTCTGTTGTTGCCTAAGATAATCTGCCTGTCTACAACAAAAATTTTATACGAGCATCACTGACATTGATCATTATTTTGCTTCATAACTTTCAAAAAGTAATAATAATGGAATATAATAATAATGATTATTCGGAAATCGTGAGATGCGGTCTAGTGTGATGTAGGTTTCAAAAAACATTTTCTTTATCGTGTCAACGTTTCGATCTTTATTGAGATCATCTTCAGGGCCTAAGACTTACATTGTTTAAATTTAACAGCAAAAAAAAGTATTTTTTATATTTAATCAAAGTCAATCAATCAATTCTACTCGCTATTGTTACGCAGAAAACAAACACTTTGCGTGAGTAGAAATAATTTGATTGAATATAAAAAATATTTTTGTATTGTATAAATTCAATTTTTCCACATCCTACGTACATTTGCTAAATTTAAACAATGTTTGTAAATCCCAGGCCCTGAAGATGATCTCAATAAAGACCGAAACGTTGGCACGATAAAGAAAATGTTTTTCTGAAACCTACATCACACCAGACCGCAACTCACGATTTCCAAATAATCATCGATTAACGGTCACTAATCACCACACATATAATAATAATAAATAATAATAGTCGTTTTTTAACATAATTCACGCTAAATTGGTACATAACGATATGAATAATAATAATATATATATTGTCTGACTGACCAAATTATTTCTTTTAATTAATTAACATTTTTACGTAAGGGTTTGGTTGAAATGAAAAAGTAAGCGTCACGAGCGGGATTCGAACCCATGACCGTTGGCTCAATTTTTATCATGTAAGCTATTTTTTAAGTATTACGTAAAGCTAGTTTTAAGATTATTATTATTTCTATTAATTAACATGTTTATGTAAGGGTTGTTAGTTGAGATAAAAAGTCAGTGTCACGAGCGGGATTCGAACCGACTATCTTCGGCTAGATACGCCGCTGCTCTACCACTTGAGCTACCGTGACCTCGATCCACTCGGACACTAACTTCCCATCTCAACCCCACTTTTTGAATTTTCCGTCCTTTTGGTTGGTGTCCGAGTGGATCGAAGTCACGATCGCTCAAGTGGTAGAGCAGCGGCGTATCTAGCCGAAGATCGTGGGATCGAATCCCGCTCGTACCATTAACTTTTTATCTCAACTAAAAACCTTAGTTAATTATAAAAAATATTGTAAAATGATACATTTTCGTAGATAAAATATTTAATATTTCATAAATAAAAATATTAAAAAACGAAAAATTTCAAATTTTAAATCTTTTTTTTTTGGTGAAAGGAGGACTTGTTAACAAGAAGTGTCCAAAATTTTGGAGTGTTGAATTATCCAAATCCGTTACTCACCAACTTGTTTGACCCCTTTTGTTCTTTCTAGTGAATAGATCGTTTCCTCAAATAGATTTTCTAAGAAATTCACGGTGGAAAAGATGGTTGATGACTGAATACTGTGTTTAGTGGGTTGTTAATGATGAAAAGCTTAGGAAGAAAGTAGATTGCTGAAGAAGCAACCATCTATTAATAGTAATTCAAATTAGGGGAATAATTAAATTAAAGCTTCGCGGTTTTATCTCTGCGAAGTGCCTCAGCCCTATGCTACTCGGTAATGAAATTTTTCAAAGTTATATCGCGTCAAAACGTATCATTTTCCAATATTTTTCGTTTTTTAATATTTTTATTTATGAAATATTAAATTTATTTTTTTGATGAAAATGTATCATTTTACAATATTTTTTATAATTAGCTAAGGTTTTTAGTTGAGATAAAAAAAGTTAATGGCACGAGCGGGATTCGAACCCACGATCTTCGGCTAGATACGCCGCTGCTCTACCACTTGAGCTATCATGACCTCGATCCATTCAGACACTAACTTCTCATCTCAACCCCACCTTTTGATTTTTCCCTCCTTTTTCCCATTTTTGAAATATCCTGTAATCTATTTGATTCTCGGCGACAAATGAAATGGCCACGGAGAGCTTTAGTGAAGTATACTTCATTTTAACTTATTAAATTCACTAGTTTTTGTGGTCCGCTTGACCAATTAATATATGTCAATTAATTAAGTTTTTTAGTTGAGATGAAAAATTGCAAAAAGGAGGGAAAATCGTGGGTTCGAATCCCGCTCGTGATACTGACTTTTTTATCTCAACTAAAAAATTTTCCATAATTTTTCCAGTCAATACATGAAGATAGTAATGAAATAACTTTCATTTTTTATAGCATAATTTATGTTTCGAGAATAACACTGCTCATCAAAAAGATTTCAAAAATATAATAAAAATTGTATGTTTTCCAAGTATCGTTGTTATAAAAGTCAATAAAAATACTAAATAAACAACTACTGAATGTTACATATAATAAGGTGTATGGTAAAAAAGTATAAAAACAATATATATACTAACAATACATATACCAAAAATATGTTTTATAATAAAACATATAAAAAATATGTATTATAATAAGACATATACAAAAATATCTATTCTAATAATACATATAAAAATGTATAATAATGATACATATACAAATAGTATGTAGTAATAGTACATATGCAAAAAGGTACATTGTTATAAAAAGATATTCTTGAATTTTTTCTGATGAGGGGAAATATTACTCAAAACATGAATAATTAATTAAATATTTGTTACTTTACCAATATTTTACATCTTTTGCTGGAAAACCCCCATTAAATTGTTAAAATACTTGATGATTGAAATTTTAACGCCAGCAAGTAAACAACATCGTTAATAGATTCTTTATTTCACAATTTTCTAACTTATGATTATCGTAATCTGACGAGTATATTAGTAATAAATGTAAACCACATTAGGCAAAGATTTGTTTTGAAACGTAATTTCAGTTTAGGATTAGCTAGAACCACGCGATGCAAAATTTTATCGATTTCCCTACCCGTCAAATTATCATCTAATTCACTTGATAATTACACTTCTCAAGTATCGATTTCAGAGGGTTTTTTTCCAACATTAGCCGAGAAAACTGGCATGAAACTGACATTTCAACGGAGTTTCTGAATATATTAGAAAACTGCTAATTCAAGCTTAATTTATACATTTTGTAAGTTTAAAGTTCCTCTAACAACCTGAAGCTTTAGAATTTTTTTAACACAGCGGTGCTACAAATAATTAAAAATAATTGTAACTAACACGCAATTAATATAAATAATATAATCGTTATTTTAGTTTTTTTATTGTAAAATATGAATACCTAAAAAATAATAAGTGAAAAACAACTGGATTATTAATTAATGTTGGGTTATTTGATTTTCATTTTATTTCTCTCTCAGGCTGTCTCTTTATATACTTCTGTATGTGTACCCATTTATCTTGTTCTGTCATTCTGTCTGTCACTCTCATCTTCTCTCTACTAAACACACACGTTCTTCTTATATTTATATAACTATTTGTTAACATCTTCGTACCATGGAAGGCACTTATGGCGTGTTAAAATGACGATATTTAATGTTAAGTGTAGTAATGTGTGGTGATTAGTGACCGTTAATCGATATTTATTTAGAAATCGTGAGATGCGGTCTGGTGTGATGTAGGTTTCAGAAAAACATTTTCTTTATCATGCCAACGTTTCGATCTTTATTGAGATCATCTTCAGG